GGCACTTATGTGTCACCTAAGTGGCACCTGAGTGTCAACTGAGTGTCACCTGAGTGTGAGTGTCACCTGAGTGGCACCTGGGTGTCACCTGAGTGTGAGTGTCACCTGAGTGTGAGTGTAACCTGAGTGTGAGTGTCACCTGAGTGTGAGTGTAACCTGAGTGTGAGTGTCACCTGAGTGGACACTGGAGTCATCACCACATCTGTTACCATGACAACTACATAACTACAACAAAAACTATGAGTTTTGAGTGAGCAACAACAGAAACAGTGACAACCAATCAGAATCTGAGTTTTCTGAGCTGATGTCACAGTCAGAGTGCCAGAAATAATTCCAGGACCTTTATAGGTCTGGAAAATGAGATTATGAAATCCCAGAACTTTTTCAGCTTTTCCATGACCGTGAAAACCCTGGTGTGTGTGTGTGTGTGAGTGTGAGTGTGAGTGTGAGTGTGTGTGTGTGTGTACCTGCATGCCAATGATCCCGAACAGAGTGAAACAGGCGTACTGAACAAAGTTCCTACTGAGGATCAACACACAGCCTCCTGCAGACAGACAGACAGACAGACAGTTGTTGAGTGTGTTTACATGTTCATTTCATGGTCAGAACTCAGAGCACTGACAGGCCCTGCAGGTCTGTGAACGCACCGTCACATCAACCAGGAAACAATGTCTCAGGACAAAGTTCATATTTTACAGACTTCAGACAGTTTAATCTCTGTTTTCATCCTCATATCTGGGGCCAGGTCTCCAGAGCAGCAGGAACCAATAGGAGTCCATCACATGACCATGATGATGACATGACATGACATGACATGACATGACATGACAAACAAACAGAAAATAATGAAAAAATAACTGGTATGTGCAGTCCTGATGAAGAGCTACAGTCCTGATGAAGAGCTACAGTCCTGATGAAGAGCTACAGTCCTGATGAAGAGCTGCAGTCCTGATGAAGAGCTACAGTCCTGATGAAGAGCTGCAGTCCTGATGAAGAGCTACAGTCCTGATGAAGAGCAGCAGCAGCTTTTTAATGATTTAGCTGCTGCAATAAAGGCTTTATTAATACTTCCTTCCTCAGTCTCTATTTTTTTGGATCGTCTTCCTGTTGTTTCCTGTTGTTTCTTGTTGTTTCTTGTTGTTTCTTGTTGTTTCCTGTTGTTGTTGTTGTTGTTGTTGTTGTTCTCCATGAGCATCTGACACAAGGTTTCGATCTACGTGTGATTACACAGAGCGACCAGTCGTCTCTCTCTGTTCTTTAGGATGAAGGGTCAATGAAGTATGAAGTACCTCAAAATGTACTTCCTCCTGTCCTGAAAACTACACAAAGACAAACCCAGTGTGTGTGTGTGTGTTTGTGTTTGTGTGTGTGTGTATGTGTGTGTATTACCCAGCTGCCCCAGCAGGTTGATTAGGACAAAGACGTTGGCGATGAAGTGTCCGCAGCTCCAGGTGGACTCGATGTACTCGCTCTGCTCCGCCCACTGGAACCACATCCTGACGCCGTCCTCCAGGAAGGTGCTGACCAGGCACAGCCGCGCCACGTGGGGGAGGTAGTGTTTGGTCACCCGCAGGAACTGACGCCGAAGACACAGACGCACTCACAATATGTCATCATACGTTAGGATATTATTGATGTTTTAAATATACTGTGATATGTATCATACAGTGCTGTGATAAAATACACTGAGATTTATGATTTCATTCAACAGCTGCTCCAACCGGCTGCAGTCACATGATCGATACAGCAGGTCAGCTTCATTACTGCAGAGTGTGAATTAATGAGGCGTTACCATGGAGATGCAGCAGTTTATTTACTACTGTGGAGGACATTTACTCGACTGTGAGACTGAGCCTGGTTATTCATCTGATTCATAATGTTTGTGTCTGAGTTCACATCATTAATCTGATGTTAGAAAATGTTCAGATCTACATTTCATCCAACAGGTGAGTTCTTAAAAAGCAGAACCTGTAGATGTTTGTTGGTGTTTCTGCTCCTGACTCACTGGATCTGATTTATTGTGTGTTACATTAAAACTCTACAGAGGTTAAAGCTCCAGTGTGTCAAATTATTGTCGTCTATCAGTGAGGATTACAGATTACAGATTACAGATTACAACCAGATGAAACTGCTCCTGGTTAGAATTCCTTCAGTGTTCAGGAGCTGAATTATCCTCAGAGGATAACGTACACTGAGTCGTATGTCACTTCCCACACTGAGGCTGTGATGGGAGGAACTCTCTGACCCACGCTGACCCACATTTTGAAGACAGGAAATTGGCGACACAGACGGTGATGGTAGAAACTCTCAAATATGTTTTGGCACATGCCATTTTAAGGTTTCATCCATTCCTACATTTTCAGTCTGGATCCTGCACGTTGTTTCACACATGAGACCTCAGCTGATTGAGACAGGTACAAACACTGAACACGTTAACAAAAAAAAACCTGTGTTTATCAGACGCTGCGTCACAGAGGAGCTGACTTGAACACATGAATGTCTCTATCTAGAGTCAGTGTTTGGTTTGTCCGTTCTGGGCTACTGTAGAAACATGGCGGTGCAACATGGTGATCTCTGTAGACGAGGACCTGCTCCCTGTGGAGATATAAACGTGTCATTCTGAGTGAACCAGAACACAACCATTAGATCAGATTCACTTTAGATCTGAAACACTGGAGCTTTAATCTGACGTTAACATGGACGTCATCACCTGTTCTCAAACGTCAGACACACCTGTGACATAATAACGACACCTGTGACATCATAACAACACCTGTGAGGATCCAACCTGCTGAATAACAGGTTAACTACTATATTCTGATGTTTCTCCAAAAGACTACAAACACATTGTGACACAGTGACAGACGCTCCTGGACAAACTTTATCTTTACATGTCTGTGTGGTTTCACTGCTGCTGATTAACAGCTGACTGTCAGAGAGCTGCAGGCTAACATCATCATCATCATCATCATCATCATCATCATCATCAGAGTGTGTATGTGGCAGCCAGTCAGCTTCAACGTCCTCATCAAACTACTTCCTGTGTGAAGCTGCAGCACAGCCTGACTGTCCTCGAGCTCATTCAACACAAACTTGCTCAATACATTTCATTTCCGGTCCTGAGAGACAACACTACGACCTGACGCAAAACAAATGATAATCAATGATCCATATTTACATTTCCGGTTCATTTTTGCTTCATTCCATGACACAGAGTTACAGTCAACTACGGCAACTTTCGGTTCTTGTGACATAACAATCATTGCACCAGACGCCATTTAGAAATCTGCCAATTTAACACATTATTCTGCTGTGCAGAGCGACACATCCGGGAACGAATATATAAACACCTCAGTTACATTAATAAGACCTATATTTAACTTTCGGCACACATGTAACTGACCGTGACGTCTTAAAATACCTACAAATCTGACTTTACTGTTGTTGAAACTCTTGTGCGGTACAGACTGTATGGATGTACTAAAGAAGTATATTATAGACAGCAGTAATAATTCTGTTGGTAATAATCTGAACGTGCTTTGAACTCAGCAACGAAGATGAACCACTTTACTTTTTTGCATCATGATCTCCGAGAGATCCAAAATCTGATTACTTCCGTCCTCACACATGAACACCGCACCAAACTCCGTTAAAAAAATCGGTGATTTTTTCAGTTCTCCTCAAAACCCGCCGACATTTGTACCGCAGGAAACAACCGAGGGCTGCAGAACATCACCAGGAGTCACTCTTTCCTTCGGCGCACAAATAATTCAGGTCAAACTTATTTTGGTGTTTCATCATAACTTAATTATACTTGCACAAGACTTTGAGGCACACCCTTCCAAACTGCACCGAGAGTCACAGTCTCAACTTTAAAGTTAAAGAAAGTTGATCTTTATTACAACAAAGTTTTGGTTTGGTTCAATAATCTTTGCGCCGCATTCACCGACAGTCAACTGTGACACACGGTGTGTGTGTGTGTGTGTGTGTGTGTGTGTGTGTGCGCGGAGCGCGCAGCTCCATAAAACCACCAGATTTCTGAATGGAATTCGGAAGCAGCGGCAGAGAGGTCCCAGCCCTGTCTGTGGCCGGCTCAGGGTGTGTGTTTCCCCGCAGAGAGGAGCTCACCTGGTCCGCCACATCCTCCGCCTGGCTCATCAGGTCTCCGTGTCCCATGGCTCCGCTCTTAAGGCACTTCAGCGGCTCCCAGCTCGGTACAGTCCGCTCACAAGAGTCCCGGTCCCGGCAGTGATGATGATGATGATGCTCCGCTGCTGCCTCCTCCGATCCCACAATCCTCTGCGCTGAGCGGGCACAGCGCCCCCTGTGGCCACAGCCGGGTGACGCATGCCACGTGGACTGAAAGCAGCTCCACAGTCAGAGGCTCATTAAATAATTAAAGGAGATGATTTTAAAGTGAAACCTTCATGTGAGGAGGTGCTCAGCAGGTTAGGGTCATTAAACCAAATATGACACAAGTATGTGGACACCCTGTCCCTTTCTTCTTTAGTTAATACAATTCAATTGTCACAAAATTCATACTTGATTAATTAAACTACATTTCACAGAGAACTGAAACATTTCCTGACTAGTCTGATCAACAAGAGATTATTCAGTGATTACTTTGATAAGATAATGTTTGTTTGTCTTTTTTTTCTTTCTCCACTGTCTCAGATTTTTTTTCCTCTTTAAGACTTTGGACAGCAGGAAACTGTGACGGACATGTGTCAGCATTTTTATACAGTGCATAGATAAAACAAATAATCGATATCCTAAAAAACAAATCAGTGATAAAAACACGTGTACTATATATGTATATGTAAAATATAACCATCATTAACTTTGTTTCAGAGGCTTTATTTGAATTTGTATCATTTTATTTTATTGTTATTCATTTGTATTATTTTTAGTATTTTTTGGCTTCCACATTTTTTTGTAAATTCATTTTGTAACATTTGAAAAACATAAAGTAGAATATATTTTTGCACATACCCGACAAGTGCTTTCATTTTTATTTTATTTTTAATTATTTAACCAGAAAAACCTCCTGAGATTCAATGTCTCCTTTTCAACAGTGTCCTGGCAGAGACACAGTGACATAAAGTTACACAGAACATAAATACTAAGTAAAAATATACAGCTCTGAAACAAACAATATGAAACACAAAATACACAAATATTGTTTTTGTAATTTTTTTCCTTTCTATATTTATGTTTTTGTCTCTGCACCAAAACACTGAAGCAAATTCCTTCCATCTAAAAACCTGATTGAGTTAAAGCTGCAGTTCATCTGACGGCCACCAGGAGTCAGTACAGAGACACAGCTCAGTGGAAACACACAAAACAAAACTTGATCAGCGAAACATTCACACCTCTGTCTGAGACTCGTCCCTGATGAGGACAGATGTGACCTTCTTCAATAAGATTACAGACAGTGACGGAACAATCCAGCATAGAACCATGACCTCACACTGGGAGGAGCTGACCTCCACAGGTCATGATGGAGGTCACGGTGAGATGAAGCCAACAGAACCACATCATCTGCAAAGAGCAGAGACCAGACCCCTCCCCCCGGCTGCACCCTGAGATCCTGGCCATGAGTATCACAACCAGGATCAGAGACAAGAGACAGCACCCACTGAGGACGTGTCTGACACTGTGCCGAGTCTCACTTTGGTCCTACAGAGACCGGATGGCTCGAAGTAACGACCCCACACACAGGACTCCTGACAGGACTCCTGACAGGACTCCTGACAGGACTCCTGACAGGACTCCCCGTGGGACACAGTCGTCTCCAACTCCACTAACACATGTAGCCTGGATGGACAAACCCCCCCGACCCCTCCAGCAGCCCTGTGACAGTAAGGAGCTGCTCCACAGGTCCAGGACCAGGACCAGGACCAGGATCAGGACCAGGACCAGGATCCACATCATCCTCCTGAATCTGAATCTGAGGCTTGACACTCAGTCAGTTTCCTCTGCAGCTCCCTCAGATAAACTCTCTCATATTCAATGTGTGATACTTTATTATAAATCAAACTGATGTACTGATCATCACCTTCATCATCATCACCTTCATCATCATCACCTCAGAGATACTGTTGATTTCTTTTTGTTTACTGTCTGAATAATTTGTTCATAAATACAAAGTAAAAAACAAAAAAATTCAGAGAGCAGATGATGTCATCATCATCATCATCAGTCCATCAGCTGGATACACAGGTGCATTGTGGGACAGAGTGTGAGCAGGTCAGGTGAGAGCAGATCTGTCCTGGTCCTCGTGTGTCCTCTGAGCTCTGCGTCTCTGAAACACAAACAACAAATATTACAGCTGCAGACACAGAGAGATGATGGAGCTGGTGGCTGGATATGTGCTGGATGAAATGTTGCTCCATGAGTGACTGTGCGTCTGTCAGACAGATCTCTGGGGACAGTAACGCTCACAGGTAACTGAAGACCTCCAGGTGAAAAGAAGCTAGCTAGCGTTAGCTTCACTTAGCAGTGATCACTGTGACGTTCACACAGAGACACACAGGAACCAGTTTCATGAGGGGTAACAGAAAAGTAATGTAACGAGTAGTGTAACGAGTTACTGTGGGCAGGGAGTAATGAGTCAAGTAATGTTATTACTTTTAAAAAGGGTAATGAGTAATATATTACATTTTTAGAGTAACAACACTGCTGACAGGTAAAGCAAGACAAGTGTGTGTGTGTGTGTGTGTGTGTGTGTGTGTGTTACCTGCAGGTTGAGGTAGTGTGTGTGTGTCCGGCAGTGTGTGTGTCGTGCTGTCGTCTCTCTGTAGAAGAACTTGTTACACAGTCGACACAGGAAGCCAGAAACAGGAAGCACAAAACTACTTCCTGTAGAGACACACAGAGACGTACTGTTTATACATCATCATCATTTCTGTCTCTCAGTTTGAATATTTATTATTGATTATTGTTCAGCTCATTGACGGGTTGATGATGATGATGATGATGATGATGATTATGATGGTGTGAAAACACACAAACAGGAATTCTGTCATGAAACAGATTCTGATTTAAATAAAAAACATAATTTTTCAGTGAACATTAATTATAAAAATAATTTTAAAAAACGTGTTTATGGCGTCAGAGCCACACACACTTTATATTTACTGTGTATTTACTGAGTGAACTCAGACGTCAGTCGTCCACTGAGAGGCGACAAACCACCGTCAGACAGAACTAACAGTTACCATAGTAACCATAGGAACATACCATATATGGTGTGGGAGTCATACTGCTCACTGTCTGTTTCCTGTGTGTCAGCTGCCTGTAACACACACACACACACACACACACACACACACACACACACACACACACACACACACACGC